TGGAATTCATTTGGTGTTTGTATTTATTTATTGAGAACAAGAATACACAGTGATAATGCAGTCTTCCTGGGCATAAGCTTACACTTGTGTCTCATGGAAGAGGAGGAAAAAAATACGCTTTTTTTCTTCTGCTCTACTCAGGAAAAAAAAAAAAAAAAAAGAAAAAAGGAAAAAAAAGAGTACTTGACTTTCTTATTAGAACAAAATGAGGTATAAAAACACAGCTAAATTTAATTTTCATTTAAAATAATGCTAGAACAAACAAGAAAGCAAAAAACATCGGACTAAAACCCATGCATTTTTATTCTTAGTGAGACAGCTTTCCCCCATCCCTGCAGGGTAGGTCAGAGGCATCACTGTTATTTAATTGTTGCCCTTCTCTTTCAGTGAACATAAAACATTAACCTTCAAGAGGGTACAAACCACAGGAAATACATTCTCTCAGCATTTGCTATTATGTATCATTATCATTAATAATTTGTGGGAAATGGACCTAGAAGGAGCATTGATAGTCCATGTTTAGTATCTGTCTTTTTTACTGACCAGTTGTATCAAGTTCTACATGGTGTCTGTTGAAGTGCTGAGAATTTTTGTGTTCAGTGATGTCAAGGCATAAAGGCTGGACTGGCTATAAAAATAGTGTTTTTAATGTTGCAAGTAACAAAGGAATTCTATCTTTAAATACTAATCTGAGCTTCCTTCAGGGAAGAGAAAACTGCTTTGAATTCTCTAGTTTGGTCACTACCCATGAACTGAAATGATCTGTTTCACCTGCAGAAAAAGAACAGTGTTTCCTCAGGTTGGACTCAGCACCTAATATGCTTTTTTACATAAATGTCAGCTTTCTCATGATAACATAATGTTGCAGGAGATACGTTTTAAAATACTTAGGTACAAAAGGGGAAAAAAAAAAAAAAAAGAAACAACAATTCCTGAAATGATAGTGTGTTCTTGCAAATCCTTGCCTGAACAGTTCTTAATAATACTTCACAGTATAAAAAACTGGAGTGGGGTTTGAGGGTGTTTTCCTTTTAGAAGGACTTCTCAATAAAAAAGTTGCTCTTGTAATCACATGACTAGTTGATTAACAAGAGAAGCTTAGTGAAGGAATGAGCATGTTTATTACTGGGTTGGCATGCTGGCTTTGTGCCAAGTCCTGTTCAGCAGGCATCAGGCAGTATTCCTCAGATGAACGCATGCCAGTCCAGGCCGCTTGGGGAGAGTTGATGGCCCCCTTATCAGCAACACAGTTTTCTTGTGCATCATTTTCCTTGTGGTGTCCTAACTTGGTTTGGGGGGGGGGGGGGGGGTGGGGGGGGGGGCGCGGAGAAGGGGGAAGTAGTTCTGTTTCTCATTTCCCCTCTTGCTAATGCTTTTTTTTTTGTGCAAAGAAGATTTATTATTCCAATTCAGTTCCTAGGGAAAGAATGTGTACCCAGCCTATAACACCTCTTCACTGTTTCTTTCAAAGGCCAAAAAAGGTCATTTTTAATAGTGTATGTAACAGTGTATGTATTCGTCTTCAGAACGTTAATATCGACTGTGCTGGTAGGCAATCATAAAATGAGGAAAGAAGTAGCAGGTGGAGCGTGGAGGGAAATAATAGGTATGGAGATGACAGATCATAATGGATTTCTGTGATGGTTGGCACCAAGACTTACCTTCAGCTTCTCCTCCTCGAGATAGATTGTGTGAATTTATGTGGGCCTCCCATTATAATCTATAAAGAAATCAGTTGATTTCTGTTACTGCTTTCAAGCTACTGATGTAATACCACTATAAAGCTTGGAGAAATGTTTGTGACTGTAATAACAAAGCAGATAATTACCTAGCTGCTTATTTAAATAACACCCTTTTGGAACTAGATGCATAGCTGGGACCTCTAATAACTACTGTGAAAATAAGTCTGCATTTCATGCAGCTTCTGTTTGTCTACTTTGTTCCTTCACAAATGTTTTGATAGCTCTAATAGTGGTACCTGTACATTATCATACCCGGGCTCATGTTCATGATCCTGCATGTTTGTATGTACTGGTTTTCTTACAGTGTCAGTCTTCGTGCTTTGGAAGTTGTTGATGGCTTATGTAGCCTACTATTCAACTGCTTGTCCAACAGTTTCTGCTAACAGTAGAAAACACTGAAAAACTATTTTGAATTGGTACAAGGTATCTCTTGTATCTCTTGCACTAACTCGAGTGAAGCTTCTTGAGACCCTCATGAGCTCATCTTGTATGATTCCCATATACATTTACAAGAGAAAAGTGAAGAACATCACGAATGGGCCTACACGAGGGCTTCTCAGATGTGTCAGCCCTGCTTTGCTCGTATGAAAACATGCTGCCATCTCACAGCCAATGGCAGAAATTGGATGGGTTGTTCAAGTATTCTCAGGCTGGGGTGTTACTGCACACTTGATTTCTCCTCATGGGAGAGTTTCCTCCTAGTATCGTGAGAAAACAGGTGGTTTACAAGAACAGTACTTTTATTGTTGTTTTTTTCTGTGCATATTAGAAATCTACTGATCAGGTTTCTTATTTTGGCCCACAGAGAGCATGATGCTATGCACGTGCACTTTTAGCTGGAGTGACAAAAGGTCTGTATAGTGGGTTGAACTGTTTCAAACCCTCCTGATTAAGCCATCTGCCCATCAATGTGATGCTGAGTGATGAAGCCTCTGCTTTTTTCGTTTGCTCTTTCAAAATTAGCTTCAACTTATTACTCATGTTAAGGAAGTCAAAGACTTTGACAGCCAGACTGTCAAGCTCAATGGGTCTTTGCAAGCAGTGCATCTATTCGGGGAACGCGTTGGGGCTGTGTAGTGAAGAGTATGGCTGTACAGCAGCGGGCTTGCTGGAAGATGCCATCAGGATGGAGAGGGGAGGCTGTAGAGAGCTGCTGTTCCTGAGAACGAAATCCTCTCCTCCTGTTTGTGCCGTTACATCCAGGGTGTTCGGCTTTGGGGACAGAACCTGATGGGGAGAAGGATGTGAGCTGGTCTCTGAGGAACTCAACACAAACACCCTTTCAAACAAAGGGTTCGAACATCACAGGATTAGCCGCTCCCCGAGTTTCCTTTGACTAGGCAGCCTAATGATTAAGGCACCACCAATTTCAGCATAATGTATCCATTGACTGAAGAATTTAGGAAAAGTTTTGGTTTCCTCATTTTTAATTGCATGAGTCTTCCTGACCTGAAGCGTATTACTTGTACTATTTCTTAGGGATAATACAGTACAAGATGACAGCCAGCTCCATCTCATTTCTCTTGAAATGGGAAAAGTCAATGCATATTTCCAGCATGGGCTGTCAGTTGCTGGCTTGAATATTAGAGAAGTTTCACTTCTTTTTTGTGTTTCCTAAGCTGTATTTTGTGTTATGGTAAGATGTTTATCGTCACTCCTTGATTTGTTTATTTTATGTTTTTCCTTTGAGTGAAACGCTGTTTTATGAACACATTGCAGAAGGGTATTTCATCTGGGCTTAAGGAAATAAATTATTTCTTTTTGTTAATACTTCTTATCAGTGATTAATTATCTTGAGTATTAAAAGCACTATCTTTGTTTGTAATTGGTATTTTTTCCTGTTTTTTTTTTTTTTTCCCAACTGCTGTCTCTTCCTATGACTTGATCTCTGAGTTTAATATTTCTTTAGTAATTGGTCTTTTCCCTCCACTACTCTAATCACAGTACCTCTGCTGTCATCACTTCTCCTTTTCATAATTGACCCTTCAAAGTAAACTCTTTTCAATAATTTCAGTAGATCAAGTTCTTGACATTTCTCACCATACGGCATTTTCTACCCTTGAATAATTTTTATAGCTCTTGCTGACTTTCTTCAGTTTCTGATGGTCTTTAACCATAGAGAGGTGGACATTATAATTCACAAGTGACTGCATCTTTGCTTATGTAAAGCCAGGCCTCCCAGGGCCCCGCGACTCTCTGCGGGTCTTTGGGGATTCTGATCCTGAAGCTCTGTCAACAGGGTTGAGAGGTAAGATTATATGGTTACGTGTGACGATACTAATCCATCTACCTCACCCATGGGGCACATTTGAGATTAAAAGTTCATACAGTACATGCCCTTGCACAGTGATCTCTGGTGCTGTATGTATGATTAATCAAATATGCGAATCCACAGGCATATGGCTGTGGATTGAGCCTTTCATTGTTGGTCTCCCTAATTTAATGTATGGACATGCAATTTTCTTCCTATTCTCCTTTACTCCTTCCCTTGAATCTAAGTGCAACAATAGGCCCTTTTGCCGCAGTGTGCAGTCCATTTACCTACTCTGAACCTCTCAATTCTTTTCTGAGTTCCTTGTTTGCGATCTTCAGTCTCACATTCCGAAGACTCAGTCTTTGTTCTTTTGAAGAACGGTACAGGGTTACATACAGATGCTATGTTACATCAGTGTGATGTTTCAAAACAAGCTTCTTGTGCTTCAGGAGTGAGAAGACAGGAGTTTTCCTGCAGACCAGATAGCTGAGGTGTGAGATCAATGATAGCTCCATATGACAGCTGTGTCTATTTACTGTGCAGAAGCTAGGGCAAAAAACGAAGCATGTGTTTGTATTGATATGACTGATATCCAAGAGTGTTGGAATGTCTCAGTTCTATTACAAGTATAGAAATGAAACTAATTTTTAGAGTTATTTTGAGTACTTTGCAATATCCAGATAATGTTTCCATAAACTGTTGTGGAATGAGCATCGAAGAATCACAGAAGTGATTCTAATAAACTGTACCAAAGCATTTTGCTATGTTTTAAGAGAAATCAATTGTGCTTTATGCTGAAGAGTCTTGGACGTTTTCCTGCTGGAATTTGTCAGCTTGAAATCTTCCAGGCACACAGTAATCAATTTCCTAGCATATAGAATTACCTAATGGTGTTAACTGCAGCATGGTACTTCGTACTGAGGGGATGCTATGTGTTTAAAGGTTTTGATGGAGCTGTGTCTGAATCTGCTGTGCTAAGCGAGTTTGTTTTCATTTCTGAACAGGATACGAGGGACTTTCTGCAAGTCAATCAAAATGAATATGGTGAAGAGGATCATGGGCCGGCCTCGGCAGGAGGAGTGTAGCCCCCAGGATAATGCGCTGGGGTTAATGCATCTGCGCCGCCTCTTCACAGAGCTTTGTCATCCTCCACGGCATATGACCCAGAAAGAACAGGAGGAAAAACTGTACATGATGTTGCCAGTGTTCAACAGGGTAAGCTGGAGAACCTGTGAGAGGTGTTTGCTTTATTGGAAATGACTGCTCTTATTTTGTATTCCCAAGACTGTCAGTTCTAGCATAGTAGAAGTTACGTGTACTGTTGGCATCCTGTAACTTGTTTCACTCTTTCTTCATGTAGTGTTGTGCAAGTGGATGAACCCATCTAAGGATATTTCCTATTTTCACTTTTCTGAGATGAAATCCACAGTAGGAAGTGGACTGCCAGAGAGCTTTTCTGCAGAGCTTGCAGTTTTGATGGTCATCTCTTGGCTGTGGAGAACAGAGTACCCCTTGTGACCTTTTTCAGGCTGAAGTTGTCTGCTGCTGCGGTCTTTTCTCCTCTTTTAACTGTGATTTCTACCCGGAAGTTACTTGTAGCAAGTTTATACCCATTTGTTTGTGTGCCAACACTGTCCTTGACTCTAAATAACTCTTGCAAGTCTATGCAAGCTGAACAATTTTTTATCTCCTCTCATGATAAATTCTCTCTTCTGATTGTCCTTGTAGCCTTCCCTACATGTGGAGTCAGATTTGCTCTACTTGAGCAAGGGCCTTTTTCAGGGGAGAAGTAATAGCTGCATGAACATTGACATTCATTTTTCACTACCCCCTAGTGCTCAGGCGCTGAGAACTTGTTTGGAGACAGGGCTGTGGCCGCTGGCATTGGTATTAAGAGGAGCTAAATCCTCTTGACACATATCACTCATTTGTTCTGCCACTTCAGTGAGCATAACAACTTCAGTGGTGGTTTTAGGCTCTTGAAAGAGCAGTAAATGCATGAATGTAGATTTCTTTTTTTTTTTTTTTCCTGCTGTGACCTGAACGCTTGCTTCTCAAGTTCCTCTTGAATGATGGCATTGTGGTTGTATATGCTACTGTGAAGAACTGGGATCATGGATAAAGGCAAAAACTTGCCTGGGAAGCCATTTCAGCTTTCTTTTCCAAGGTTTATGTTCTGTTGAACGTATGGCTTTTGATGGTGTAGCACATTGAACCACTTTCATGTTGTGTAGAAAAAGCAGTTCTAGTTAAGGCATAGTACTAATAGGATTTTCAGACTACTAGGCAGTGAATAAATCCCCTAAATGTCATTCTGTTGCCCTAAGTCAGGGAGAAAGAAGTAAGCTCGCTTCCTATTTTTTTTTTATTTTATTTTATTTTTTTTTTTTTTACAAATTAGCACGGTGGAGTTCTCTTGGCTTGAGAACATGAATGCTACTTGGATGCTGTTATACTGGGAATTCTCCATCTGGTGGTTACAGGTGGTTGATAATTCTGAAAAGGAGCATACCCACTGTATGCGCTGCAGTGCTCTGTGGTAATCTGCGGGTGCAGGTGGTGTTCTTTCCTTGCCCCAGTAGTAATTAGTTGCATTTTCTGTAGTGCTTTAGTTGTGGAAATCACTATGTGTGATAGAGCTGGGTTTGTGGGAAACTAGTGCAGCAAATAGTGCAGAGCAATCTTTCTCTAGACATTGATTAGACTTGAGACGAAAAACAGGTTTAGCTTTTAATTTGTTCTGTATTACTACACTTTTTTTCTACCCTTAATACCGGTTTCTGGGTTTGTTGAAATTCTTTGTCCCTCTTCTTGACCCTGTTGAATCTTAATTACAGTTGTCTTATGTCTTTGTACCGTTTGTTCTTGCTCACTGTTGGTCATTCAGCTTTGTTATCAAACATTTTGGAGAAAAAAGAAATCATTACCTGCAAGTCTTATTTCTACTCAAAATCAGCTCTTGCCTAACTAGTTTCGGATGCCATTTAGACTTCTTTGATGGCTTCTGCTGTTCTGATCTGTAGGAGGACATTTCGGCTAATCCGCAGGTCCCATTTTACACCTGTTTTTTCATACTTTTTCCTTCCCCAAATTACCTGTGCCTGTCCTCCACTGCCTACATCACCAAATTTTGTTGATGGGCTCTTAGTTCTCTAAATCCTTGACAGCCTGTTGTTCCCTTCTTGCCTCAGGCGAACTTCATGCTGAAGATGTGTTCCTCTGTAGGAATATGTTGCTTTTGGATCCTAGCTGTGGTTGTCTCTCTCCTTCTTCCTTCTTGTTTCCTCGTTTGGCTTCAGCCTTTAACTTGGCTTTAACTTAAACACCATCCTCAAACTCTGTTTTTAATCTCTGATCTTCTAGGAGCTGTCCTTCTTGGCACAAATATAAGCTCATCAGACATTGTCACTTCATTTTCCAACTAATGTAAATTCTGAATCCTAGTTTGGCATGATGATGGAAGCTCGTATATTTGTGCTCAATCACTCCCTTACTCTATAGTCACTGATAACCGTTACCAGTTGTGAACAGTTAGTGTAGCACAAACAAAAATTATTTCTCTTTGTCAGTCAAATTTCATCTGTCCCTATTATTTGGGTATTTTTTCCTTGACTTTTGTACAAATGCTTAGTTGTCGTCTTGTGTTCAAGAGGCTGAGGAATTGCAATGTCATTGTGTATTTTGACTTCAACAGAGTCCAGGTTTCCTGTTTAGGTTCCTGGTTAATGCTACTTTCTTCTTTTGAGACTTACACACCAGATCTGTGGTGGCTTTCTTGGCTTATAGCCTCATGTTTTCTGGAGTGTCAGCTGTCTGTGGTATGAATTGTGTTGGAATTATCATGCTAGTCTAGCTACTCATAAGACACAGTAAGGCAAGCTCTGAAGTGGATTGGGAAAAAGAAGCAGAAGGGGAGAAATATTTCTTTCTCTCACAAGTCTTAGATAATAACATGTTTAGTGGAAAAGCTGATAAGTATTGATTCACACTAAATTCTGAGATTTAAATTCCTGTGAGACCCACTTGTGTTGAAAGGAAATGGTAAAATGTTGCCAGACATTGCTTTCATAAAACATTCTTGTTTTTCAAAGATATTGCTTAGCTGCAAACGTTTAAAGTTAACAGTTAATAAGTTGATTTGAATTCAGAGTTTGAATCCCTCAGTTACTTTGCGTAGTAGTGATGATTGCGTAGTAGATGATTTCTTCTAATAGGTTTAAGTGAGATGGAGTACTTCGTGTGTTACTACCTTAAGCCAAGTCTACAATGCTGAATTTTACTGAATGTAGTAGAGTGTTAGGGTGACCAAAATCCATGTGCTTCCCACAGGCATCCAAATGGCCAGCAGCAGGCAGCTAATTAAATATACATATTGTCCTGGAGTTTTCAATGCTTTTTTTGCTTCCCATCTAAGCTTGCTCTGTCTGTGTATCTATCTACTTATTTATTTGGCAGAGAAGGCTGAAGGTTTGTGTAGAATACAGTTCTCTCTGATTATTTTGAGGATTATTAATCAGTAAATCCAGAGGAGCTTGATCACTCTTCTGTTTATAGATACAGCATGTCTCAGACATGCTTGCTAGTTCTAGTTTATGAATGGGTACATAGAGGGTTTGTTTCCTCATTGTTCAGGAAGGCTTGTGAGATGTTGAATCACCAAACAATGAAAAACTAAATGAATACATAATTCAGAAAATACTTGTCCTCTGTTGTCCTCTATTTGAGTATTCAGAAGACTCCTTTTGGAGGTCTGCACGCACGCGAACAATGTTCTCAGAAGCAGCTTGCGGTGTCATGCATTGCGGTGCCAGTGTCTTACTAAAGCTTTTGCAATATATGAAAAAAGTGAACAGAAGAATGGAGAGGCTATGTATTCTAATGTAGAATAAGTGGCCTATGAATAAGGTAAGCTGTTTAGTTTTTCTTGGAAGAACCATGCTTTTGGTGGTTAAAAAGATAACTCAATGGTAAAACGTTTCATATCCTATTCTGTGTTTTTACTGCCTTTAATCGAAGACTATACCAATGCACAATGCAGATGCTTCAGTGCAACTGTGAGCTCCGTGCGTTTCCTGTTAACTGTTGACTACCTTGTGAAGCTTAGGACAGGTTGTGGGCCTATAAGCACCTGTTTCTGTGGTCTGAGTATGAGAGCTTGGAAGATAAACTAATAGCGGCCAACGTGTGCTCCAGTCTGGCTAGTCTTGGCTAGGTTATAGTGGTGAACAGGCATGCCTTGGAGCCTCTGCACTTCTCATAGCTTATACAAACAAGTCTTGTGAAAGGTACAGGAGCTCTGTGGATTGCCTCCATGGGGAACGTTGCTTCCTCTTTAATTGCAGTGAGCAGTAGGTTTCTTGGCCTGAAACAGCCACCCACCTCTAGCCTCTGGGCTCCCATTGGCCTTTTTCATTGATAATGCCAATTGCATTTTCCTATGTGAAAACACTTTGGTTTCTGGTGAAAACTATTTTAACAGTAAGGAAAGCGACTGTTTATTTTTGTGTTTCTGGCTCTGTTTCAATATGGCTTTGAAATGCAAGTAGGCAGGAAAAATATTTTTGTCTGCTCGATAATGTGCCAGAGCAACTGACACTAAGGAAGAGAGTAAGAAGTAAAACTTAGACAAAGGTCATTCTATCTTCTAGCTTCTTACAATTTTTATTTTTTTCAGTGATTTGGTGGTTCCAAAGTAATTCAGTGATGCAATTACCTTGCATCCCTGTAGGCTCTAATGTTGTATGTTCCTGGAGTTCTTTAGACTAAGTGACCTCTGTCTAGTGTGTCAGCAGCACAACTGCAAAAGTAGCACTGGGTGGTTCAGAGTAAGAGGAGAGGGTGAAGCAGTTTGAGTCCTAATCTACTGTTGTAGATTGCATTCCCTTTCTGAGAGGTATGAATAACGTATTAATAAAAAAGTTTATTTTTAAACAATTGTTATCCAGTACACATCCTGGCTTATCAGTGACCCTCTTGCAGGATATGCAATTAGCCACAACGGGGAAAAAAAGCTAGCAGACAGAGAAGTATTAAGATTATTCAGGTGCTCAGGAGGCTATTCTTCTTTTTCAGCAATAATACAAGTGTTGATAACTGAATTTGCATTTCATGTTTCTTTAAATAATTAATGTCTAACATCATGCTAATGTCTAACATCATTTACTGAGACCGTTTTAGTGAAAGGACTACCTTAGGTGAGCAGAGACTTCTTTCTGTGTGCTGTCTTGCATGAGAAGTGAATTACCTCAACAACTATACAATTCCTTTCAAGATCACATCACATTCTATAACTTAGCACAATACCGTAGAGGTAACTAATTTCTCTCTGTTAAATGTGATTCAGTAAATGATTAAGTCATCAAATCAATACTTAATGATAAAGAGTAAGTTAGCAGAATTGAGTGACAATCAAAAAAAAGAAAAAATGAAGTAATTAACTTCTGCTGTTATGTTAAAGGAGAATCTCAAGAAAGGAGAACAGGGTCATGTGAAGACTCTGACCTCTGAGGCTTCCTGGTATAGTCCATTTATCAAGGAAAACTTAACAGAGAAGTTCTGCTGCCTAGTTCCCTCTGGAATGTTTCATGCTCTGTACTTGGAGTTTACCCCATAGGATGTTTTGGTCCAGCAGATAGTAAAACATTTGCTTTTAAAAACAGAAGTCATGTGGGAGCATTTACCGTGCAATCTAGTCCTTAGTCCATTATGTGCAATCTCATTCTTTCCAACGCTTGAGGTTTTTTGTCACGCAAGAAAATTCATGGCTCTCTTCCTCCTTCATTCATGTAAGTTGACATGATTTCCATTATAAATACATTTTTACAACATGCACTGTGGGAAGCAGTACATGGATGAATAATGCAGCAGGAAAACAAGAATGTGATCTCAGTAGTGATTATCTGCAGGGGAGTGAGGTGGTGGTAGTAGCTTATATTGAACCACTTAAGTGGGACAAATTTTTTTAATTGATCTATTTTCCTCTTGTTTTAGGTGTTTGGAAATGCTCCTCCAAGTACAATGACAGAAAAATTTTCTGATCTCCTGCAGTTTACTACTCAAGTGTCACGACTGATGGTGACTGAGATTCGACGGAGAGCATCAAATAAATCCACAGGTATTGCATGGGACAAAAGTTTGATGTTTGTGAAATGTCCACTGTGAATTGCACATTGGTCAGAATATCACAGAATTACTAGGTTGGAAGAGACCTCAAGATCATCGAGTCCAACCTCTGACCTAACACTAACAGTCCCCACTAAACCATATCCCTAAGTTCTACATCTAAACGTCTTTTAAAGACTTCCAGGGATGGTGACTCCACCACCTTCCTGGGCAGCCTGTTCCAATGTCTAACAACCCTTTCAGTAAAGAAGTTCTTCCTAAGATCCAACCTAAACCTCCCCTAGCGCAACTTAAGCCCATTCCCCCTCGTCCTGTCACCAGGCACGTGGGAGAACAGGCCAACCCCCACCTCGCTACAGCCTCCTTTGAGGTACCTGTAGAGAGCAATAAGGTCGCCCCTGAGCCTCCTCTTCTCCAGGCTGAACAAGCCCAGCTCCTTCAGCCGCTCCTCGTAGGACTTGTTCTCCAGGCCCCTCACCAGCTTCGTTGCCCTTCTCTGGGCTCACTCAAGCACCTCGATGTCCTTCTTGTAGCGAGGGGCCCAAAACTGAACACAGTACTTGAGGTGCGGCCTCACCAGAGCCGAATACAGGCGGACGATCACTTCCCTAGCCCTGCTGGCCGCACTGCTTCTGATACAAGCCAGGATGCTGTTGGCCTTCTTGGCCAGCTGAGCACACTGCTGGCTCATATTCAGCCAACTATCAACCATCACTCCCAGGTCCTTCTCTGCCAGGCAGCTCTCCAACTACTCATCTCCCAGCCTGTAGCTCTGCTTGGGGTTATTGCACCCCAGGTGGAGGACCTGGCACTTGGCCTTGTTGAACTTCATGCAGTTGACCTCAGCCCATCGGTGCAGCCTATCCAGATCCTCCTGCAGAGCCTTCCTACCCTCGAGCAGATTGACACACCGGCCCCAGCACCGAGCCCTGGGGAACGCCACTAGTGACTGGCCTCCAACTGGACTTGGCTCCATTCACCACAACTCTTTGGGCCCGGCTATCCAGCCAGTTTCTAACCCAATGAAGCGTGCGCCAGTCCAAGCCAAGAGCAGCCAGTTTCTTGAGGAGAATGCTGTGGGAGACGGTGTCAAAAGCCTTACTGAAATCAAGGTAGACCACATCCACAGCCTTTCCCTCATCCACCCAGCGTGTCACTTTGTCGTAGAAGGAGATCAGGTTCGTCAAGCAGGACCTGCCTTTCATAAACCCATGCTGACTGGGCCTGATCGCCTGCTTGCCCTGCAAGTGCTGCGTGATGACACTCAAGAGAATCTGCTCCATGAGCTTCCCTGGCACTGAGGTCAAACTGACAGGCCTGTAGTTTCCCGGGTCAGTCCTCTAGCCCTTCTTGTAGATGGGCGTCACATTTGCTAGCCGCCAGTCAACTGGGACCTCCCCCGATAGCCAGGACTGCTGATAAATGATGGATAGGGGCTTGGCCAGCTCCTCTGCCAGTTCTCTCAGTACCCTTGGGTGGATCCCACCTGGCCCCATCGACTTGCACACATCCAAGTGCCGTAGTAGGTCACCAACCAGTTCTTCATGGATAGTGAGGGCCACATCCTGCTCCCCATCCCCTTCCACCAGCTCAGGGTACTGGGTATCCAGAGAACAACCGGTATTGCCGCTAAAGACTGAGGCGAAGAAGGCATTAAGCACCTCTGCCTTTTCCTCATCTCTTGTAACTAAGTTTCCCCCTGCATCCAGTAAAGGATGGAGATTCTCCCTAGTCCTCCTTTTGGTGTTGATGTATTTATAAAAACGTTTTTTGTTATCTTTAACGGCAGTAGCCAGATTGAGCTCCAGATGAGCTTTGGCCTTTCTAATTTTGTCCCTGCACAGCCTCGCAACATCCTTATAGTCCTTCCTAGTGGCCTGCCCACTTTTCCAAAGATCATAAACCCTCTTTTTTCTCCTAAGCTCAAGCCACAATTCTCTGTTCAGCCAGGCTGGTCTTCTTCCCCGCTGGCTCATCTTTGGGCACATGGGGACAGACCGCTCCTGCGCCATTAAGATTTCCCTCTTGAAGAGCGCCCAGCCTTCCTGGACCCCTCTGCCCTTCAGAACCACCTCCCAAGGAACTCCAACTAGTGTCCTGAGCAGCTCAAAGTTAGCCCTCCGAAAGTCCAATACAGCAGTTTTACTGGTCCCCTTCCTGGCCTCGCCAAGAATAGTGAACTCCACCATTTGGTGGTCACTCTGCCCAAGACAGCTCCCGACAATCACATCCTCCACCAGTCCTTCTCTGTTTGTGAAGAGAAGGTCTAGTGGGGCGTCACCCCTGGTAGGCTCACTAACCAGCTGCGTCAGGAAGCTATCTTCCACGCTCTCCAGAAACCTCCTAGACTGCTTTCTCTGGGAAACATGATGTGCTGCTATCCACAAAAACTGTACATACACTGAAATAGAGTTCTTCACAGGGACCATGCATTCTTTTGCTTTGGGATGAGAGAGAGAAGTAGACAGCTAGAGTTTTCCTGCCCAGAGTTTGGAACATGAAGTTTCACAATAGGACAACACGCCAGAAACAAAGAGGAGTGAGCAAGGTTGAATCCTGTAATAGTAGGAAACAGAAGAGCATGTGGACAGCTGCTGTATTTTGCATGAGGTGTCTCTTGATGCTGTGTTTCAGATATGTTAAGGTTCCAAAACTGTACATTTAACTGAGCTGTAGGCCTAGAAGAGAATAAAAAAATGTGGAAGTACGGTGAGCCACACATGAGCACCATCACCCCCAATACTAGGAAAATGTTTCTAAGCCTCTCTTTCACTCAGTTTATTAAAAGGCAGGGGTGGATTTGGTTCTGTGTTGAACCCTGACCACTTGCTGGGAGCTGTGTGAAAGAGGGTAATGAGGCGAGGAGGCATGTTGCCTTAGGCTTTCCTCTTTGTCTCTCTTTTTTTGAGCATTATTATTATGTGGAAAGAGGAGAGGTCTTTGGAGCAGTATAAAGTTTTTGCCTGCTAGGTGATTTTAAATTCTCTACTGGCTTCACAGTGTGGATTTAGATAAGGAAATAGTGAGCTAGAAAAGGCTGTGCTAACTATTATGCTTGCAGTCAAGAGTCACAAATGGTTTTATTTCTATTTTTTTCCATTTTAAGTGGAGAGACTAACAGGGAAACATTCCAGATGGCTAACAGATTAAAGTAGACGAAACCTGTGCTTTATGGGGGAACAAGAGCACACAGTTTTGGGGTATTTAGGGGAAATTAATGTCCAGCAGGCAGAATGGTGGTGTTGGTTTGAACTTCTGTTTTTCCTGGGGAACATCTGTTCTGCCTGCCAGTTGCATTCTGTTAAGAATGACCATTTTTGGATAGTACTTAAATCATATCTCTGCCTAGTTTCTCCAAGGTAGCCCAATTTTAATCCTTGCAGTCTCAGATGTTGGAGGTAAATTTTCTTGTTGTTGTGTTTGAGGATTTTTTTTTCTTTTTTTAATTTTTCTTTTTTTACTTCCCCCACAAGGAAACTTAGCCACAGTGACTTAAAAAGATAGTTTGATGCTTCTATAAGATTTCATACAATGAGTACCAATGGCTTTATTAGAAGGAAAGCAGTAATTTTTCTTAGGTTATCAGGGTTGCAATTACTTCAGTCAATAAAACTGTTTTAGCTTTAGTGTTGCTCCATGTACTGAAGTTGTGCTGTGATTCTTAACCAGACCAGGGAGTTGCATTTTGCTCTCTGTAAACATCGAGTTAACAGGCTGTTAACATTCATTGTTGGTGCACTTCCATGATAAACTGTTCGGAGCTAGACAGATGTTCCCTACAGTATTCAAAAGTAGAAAACTTAGGGGTTTTAGAGTACTTTTTACAGTAGAGATGAAATAATTGTGCTTACCTATTGAGAATGCCCTTTTCCTACCAAACAAAATGATAGTGTATCTCAATAGCTAGGGTAGGTAATTACATCTCCTAGAAAGTTTTCATAAGTGAAAATATTCACTAACAGCTCTATGCAGGAAATGTCTCTGTTGGTATCCAAGTGTAAATTCCTGATGGTGTCAAGTGCTGCGTTTTAAGTAAATGAAATTACCAAACCTGTTTTTAAGAGACAAGATTTCCCTGCAATCATTATTAAAAGTGACCTTCCCTTTTAGATAACAAAAGACAAGAAATTTAAATGAGTTTGCTTTTTATCTCTGAAGAGGTAAATGCTATTGTCAGCACTTTATGGAGGGGAATGTGATATTATATATGTTACCTGTTTTTTTCTGACTGTTTGATAATAGTGCACAGCACAACTTTTTATCGGGACTTTTAGTATTTATGCTAGCAGCTATGTGAATGCCTGCCATCGTGGACACGTCTTAGTTGTTCCTGACAAACTGTAGTGGTTTTCTTAGAACAGCATGAGATGATCCATTAGAAACTGTACCAGCACCCTATCTTAAACAGTCTTTTAATATTGCCATTGTAGTGTTCAACTACAGTTTCAACTGTACTGTTTCTCTAGTGCAAATGTAACCTTGCAGTAAGAAAAATGAAGAAATTAAAATTGATAGAGTATCTTCCACATTGAGGTGTTTGCTGTACAACAGTGATGGCTTGCAGGTGACTTGAGTAGTGTCCCTGTGAGGATACATGGATGGTTTCCTTTGCCTTGTCATACCGAGCCTGTTTTGTAAGATGGTAAGGTTATAATTAAGATAGTTGTCTCTATTTTGTTGAGGGTTTTAGCTGCCAGATTTTCAACAAGTACATGCTATTTCATGTTTAAATTAATCAAAAGATCATGATGGCACTGTGCTAGAATGGACAGTCAAACTCATCTGTTTCTAATTTAGTCTCTTCTGCAGTAGGCCTTAGTTTTGGGATTGAGTACATCTGGCTCTCAGCTGAAAAAGAGGGAGTGCTTAAACAAGGTGCAGATACTGTTGCAATCTTGGTAGAATAAATGTGTCTGCTAATGGCAACTTTGGCTACTGATGCTGGCAAGGAAGCAACACTTTATTTTTCTTTTCATATTTTACAAAACACAT